ATTTTAACTTGTATTTAAATCCAGATTGACAGAGAAGGAGAATACTTTTTATATTTTAATTTTTTGAGTGTATAATTCCTTAATCAAAAGCATTTGAGAATAAAAAAAAATTTAAAAGTTATTTATTAAAAACTTTTATTATTCAAAAAAAACTTGCCGCCATTCTTTTCGCCGGGAACTGTATATAATTTAAAGAATGAATTGAGAAGGTGGGCTTTGAATAGAACGTGACTTTAGGTAACGTTGCTTAGCTTGGTCTATGAGGGGCCAAAAATTTCTTTTGAGTATGTATAATTTGTCGTCATCAACAGATGTAAAATATGTGACATCTATGCTTGAATACTATTATATAAAACATAAGGTATGACAAATATCAGTTAAATGAAATGATCTGAATGATTAAGGAAATTGATGCTAACACGATATTTGATCAGAAAATTCTATTGTTCGAGTTCTTTGTAAAATAAATATTCAAATATCGATCATTTCAAAAACCAACTGAAATTGATCAAAACTAGTTTTATTAGTTGCCAAAATTAGATAATACTTTATATAATAAATATAATTGGTTTAATTTATGGAAATGAAAAAAAAAACAAAAACAAAAACAACAACAAAAAAAGGTTTTGACAAACAAATTTTTTTGTTTAACAATATCGTATGGAATATTTGCCCAATCAAATATCATAAATTCAACGAACCCTGATTTACTACCAATTTAGATGAATAATCGAATGATTTTTGATATTCGAGTACAGTAGTGATGACAAATATACCATTTTCTTCCGCTTCTAATCGGTAATCTCATTAATTTGAAGGAGGATTGATTGTGAAAATCTGTGGAAAAAATGTTTTATACAATCTGTCCGATTTATAACATATTTGAGGGAATAAATTCAAAAATAATTAATTCAAAAAAGTACATAATCATAAAGTATTTGACCATGAAAGATAGTCCAAACAAAAGTATATTTCTCCACCTAATAAAAAATGCTATTGTTTTCCAAACATTTACATCCAAGAACTAATTATAGTCAGTAAATTGGGAATACTAGATAAAATATTAATTATAATGACGAGCTGTACTAAGTGTGCTCTTCTTTGTTAAATTTCTGGTTGAGGAGCCGTTTATTTTGCAACGTGTGCATGCTTTTTTTGAGATGCGGGTTTCACGACTTTTATAAAATTAATCCACCCTATGTACAATTCTTCTTGAAGAATTTATAAAGACATCCGGAAGTGTTTATTATGGTAATGATAATATCATACGATAAAATAAATAGATTATATAAATAAATTAACCCAGGTATGGGGAAATATACCGCGGATATTATGACCCGCGATAAATAAAATATTGGTCACACCTTGAAAAAAAACACAGTTTATTTTATCCGCTTGTATTCCTTATTGGGAGAATTACGATGTCCCTTAAAGGATTTGAATTAAATATTTATACTTGAACGGTTAAAAAAGATATATTAAAAAATTTCTGAGATGCATCATCAAAATTTTGTGATATATCCAAAGCATAAAACCTTAATTGTTTTACTATGAAATTTTCAAAACGTGAAAAGAAATTTTTTTTTTTTGGGAAAAAGTGAACACAAGGTTCACAAAAATCATGAGGATATCTGTTAAGAATTTTAGAAGATTTATTAGGATGCTGATAAACAAATAATCATTGGTAATGAATTTTTAAAGTTGTGCTACATTAAATGATGGTATCATGTTATGTTATATGTAACAGAATTCTTTGGAAGGAAGCCCAAAAAAAAAAAAAGATTACATTACATTAATTAATTGATTATTTTCATTATTTAACATTTTTAATAGAAGGAAACTGCCGAAAGAAAGATTTTTGAGTTAAATGGGCATACTTACTTTAAAATTCATATCAAACGTAATAAGGTCTTTCTTCTGCAAAGCGCACATATGTTTTAAATTATTACTTTTTATTAATGTCAATATATGTCAATATACTTACGAACAAAAAATATATAAAAAGAATTTCCCTTACAGGTTATAATTTATTGGTGTGTATCTTTGTTTGTATAAAATTAAATTTCGTGACAGTAACGTTGCAAAAATAAGATTCAAAAAAGAAATTTTAATCTGATATCATAAACAATTCCGTTTTTTTTTTACACTAAAAATAAAAAATTTCTCTGGGCACCTTGTAATCAATTAAAATCATCAAACATTTGACGTACAAAAAAAAAAAAAAAAAACCAACTTTCCGGATATTAGTGCAACAAATGAACTTTAAAATTATTATATATGCAAAGGGGATCGATTTTAAGTTTCCAATACTTTTTTTTTTTCGTTAATGAATTGAACTTAATTTATGAGTATAAATACCTTCTTATCAAAAAAAAAAAAAAAAAAAAAAAAAAAAAAATAACGGTTTTCATCTATAAGAAAATAATTTTGAGCTGCGATTTCTATGCGTGACTTTCTAATATTGAAGAAAATCCTGGTATTTAATAATCATGAATTTAAAAAGAGGCGATGGGAATAAACCGGTCTCTCTTGATGATAAATTTGACCGAAAACGTTTTGTCAAGAAATCCTCAAATTTCGCAAAAATGAGACTTAATTATCCTCCACCTCATCAAACAAAATCTTTATTGGCTAGGCTGCCGGATGAAGCTTTCGATTCAGAAACGGTAACCTTATTACCAACGATGCAACCTAATAATAAACATGAAAACCGTACAACTCTAGGAATTTCAATACTTACATGCTTCATAGTTATGCTTACTCTAATAATAATCGCAATGTGTCTCGGCTTTTACATTAAACGAAAAAACAAGACGCCTGCAGCCGCTTTTAAGAAAGGTCACAGAAAGGATCCTTCTCCCATCTCCGCGATATTATCGGGATCAATAATTGATACGAGAATTCAAGAAATAAGAACCGAGTCACAAAGAACTTCCACATCTTCAATCCTTATAGAAGTTATGACGGATACATTATCAAATATAATTAAGAATCAAGGAGGAAAAATCGAGATCCCTAGCAATAACAATTCAAACATATCGGCTAGACCTGAATTGATACGCGTGAAATCCTTGGATCATTCTGATGAAGTGGATAATGATTCCAAGAGTGGAAATGATTTTACAAATTCCATCAAAAATATATTTGGAAAACGCTTTTCAACTTCACAAGATACTAGCGTTTAGTATTATTTCAATTATGTATAAAATATGTTTGTAATTCCATATAATGTAGCATAGCCTCCTTTTACTTATATTCACTACAGGGGTTTATATATAAATACTTTCTTCTATTGTACATTTTGTCAAATTATGAATATATAAAGGAATAAATCATATTTCGGTTAGCATTAAATTTATTGCGACCAATTAATATTAAATCATACAGTATATGTCATTTGCAATGACTACCGCAGTAACAACTTATTCATGTAAGGAAAAGATCGTTGTTCAAGAGAAAAAAATAAATTTTTTTTAAAGAAGTTATGGGATTAGATGATTCCGTTATGGTAAGAAATTTAAGTAATTTTCACGGGTTATCATTCGACTTTTCAAATTAATGATTTCAAATTAGTCGGATTTCTGAATTCAAGCAGATAAAATTTAAATCAAGTGATTTTATGATACGATACCAAATATATTTTTTGAAATTTCAAAGTTTGTTATGTTCAAGTGATCATATTCCAGAAACTGATCAATTAAATGCAGCATAAAAGTGTGCATAGGCGTTAAATTGTAAGCAAGCTGTGGTTACATTATTTGTTTAACTAATTTAATTTGTCGTTATCGTGAATTAACTTGTCGGATAACTTTCTCGAAACGTGTACAAAAAAAAAATAATTTTTTTGTTCATTTGCTTTTTTTATAAAAAAAAACAAACAAGTAAAAAAAAAATATAATTTTTTTCTTTAAATGGTAGGAATTAATATCTTATCGCGTTTGTATTCTCGCATTTTTGTGCCCAAATTAAAGTGAAACACGTTAAATGCTATAAATGCATTATTTTTCCTATTTTGTTAATTTTTTCGTTTGTGTTATACAATATTTATTATGTTTTCAATTTTGGTTAAATTATTAACGTTAATGAATTCCCTATTTAGGTAATTCATTTTCTGATTCTGGTTAGATAATGCTACCGATTAACAAAATTTAAACCTAATTTGGAATAATATTTATCGTGAACAAAGTTACAATCTTAAATATCTTGAATGCAATGTTTTTTCTTTTTTTCTTTTTTTCTTTTATTTAATCATATAAATATAAAATAATAATTAACAGAAAAAAATAAAATAAAATAAAATACCTTTTTAATTATAAACATTCTATCATGAATAATGTCGCGGAACGAAAGAGACTTATTGGAACTCTTGCCGGAATCGGTATGAATGTTAATAATGTCATTGGTGCGGGAATTTTTACCACTCCAGGAATGGTATGGAAGTCCCTGAACTCACCACAGGCAGCAATGATATTATGGGCCATTGGCGGTATTATCAGTATGGCGGGTTCACTCACCTATGCAGAAGTATGTTTTATTTTATTACGAGGGGGTGAAATATAAGGGGATGACAAATAACTTCTTTTTAAAATGCTTTTGGTAAACGGAGAGGCGTGATAAATAGCCAATAACGTCACTTTTATATATGTCACACACGCGTGTTCTTTCTTGCACACCTGCTAAAAATTACTTTGAAATATTTAGCCAATTTTTCTGAACGTTATTCTTCTTTTGGTCTTAAAAGTTAGGTGCGGCTATTAACCGCAGTGGAGGCGAAAGTGCCTATTTACAAGTAGCTTATACCAGGCCAAGAAATTTTATTAGTTACCTTTTCTCATTTATGTTCATTGTTGCAATCCGACCTGGAACTATTAGTGCAGTATTACAGGCCGTGGCACAGTACTTCTGGTATTTAATCAGCGACAATGCCTCCGAATTAAACTCCAAGAGAGGTTGGGAAAATGGTTGGCCATTTTGGCGATTAAAGTTGATTGCTATTATTACTTTAGCGATCATAACCGGATATCATATGTATAGCACTCGTTTGGCTAATTATATTAACCAAACGTTTGCCGGAATTAAAATGGTTGTTTTAACAACCATTGCAATTGCGGGGCTAGTCAAATTACCATCGATATTAAGTAATCATCCAAACAATTGGTTAGATCCAATTGAAGAAACGAGAGGATTTAGTGACTTTTCGTTTTCCTTTATTTTGGTTGGTAAATAAATTATTCATCTTTAATTTTGTCCAATTAAATTGACTTAATTTCTTTACTCTTTAGATAATGTTTAGTTACAATGGGTGGAATAATTTGAACTGTAAGATATTTATTTATTGTGAAATTGTTTTGACTTTTTAATACAAGTATGATATTAATTGTTATTTTCTATTTAACACTAAAGACTCTCTGGATGAGTTTAGAAATCCAGAGAGAAAATTAATATATAGTAATTTTATAAGTATATTTGTTGTGATTATATTATGTATGTACACTACAGAGTATTTATTTTCCAAATTCTTCTGATATTATTAATTAATTAATATTTATTTATTTATTTATTAAGACTTGTTGGTCAACGTCGCTTTTATCTCTGTTGTACCAAGAGAACTTATAATTGGCAATGAAGATTTTAATGAAGTTATCGCAGCAGATTTCTTCATGAATCTTTTTGGAAAAAAGATAGGACGAATGCTTTCCCTCTTTATTATTATTTCGGCCATCGGCACTGCAGCTTCGATGACCTGGAGGTAATAACATATTTAATTTAAAAATGCCACATCGATCTTTAAAAGTGTATCTCCTTCATTTATTTTTTTATTTTTTATTTTTTTTTCAGCGGGTCTCGTGTGCTTGCATATGCGGCACGTTTAGGTTATATTCCGTACTTTTCGGATAAACTGATATGGAGAGAAAACGAAGATTCACCTAAATTCGCCCTTTTAGCCCAGTTTTTATGGTGTTCCTTGTTGATCGTCCTAGTCGGAGGCGGAATAAGCTCCGACAGTTTTATTTTATTTTCCAATTTTTCCCAATATAGCGCATGGATCTTTTATATGTTGACGGGAATTGGTTTATTAATTCTTCGAAAACGCACTTTGCGATATCGTTTATTTAATATTTACGATCCTATCGTATATTTATTTGTATTAGGAGGGGTTTACATTTCCGTATTCTCTTATTTCGTTGACGTGACGTGTCCAACATATGAACCCAATTGTAATATAAATCTTCAAATCCTTAAAAGACAAGCTCCATATTTTATTAGTCTAGGTTTTTTGGTCCTAGGAATAATTTCCTACTATTTTACAATTCATCGTAACAATTAACCGATTTTACAAAAGTCGCAAAAAAAAAAAAAAACAATTTTTTTTTTTGATCAAAAAAAATTTATATGTAATTTAATTATTTTAAATGTATAGTTAAATATAAACGTAAAAGCATAATAACTACTTAATAACTTTAAATATTATTTTTTTTTTAAGTATAATTTAAATAGAAAAAAATTATTAAAAATAAATAACAATGATAATAAAGATGATTCTAATTACGTTAATTATATTATTTAGAATTTTTTTAATGATAATATCTTCATAGAATGATACCTTTTTAAATATTTATTAAGAGAATATAAAAATATGCAAAACTCAAAAACCTTAAGTAATAAATACAAAAAAAATCCAAATAATCTTCTAATTAGTTTAAGAAATTTAATATTTTTATATATTAATTTATTTTTTTAATTTTAAAATATGTTAGTATGAAAGTAGAAAATTTCAATTTTTTTTTTTTTTTTTTTTGACATCCGCTGTATATCTATATATTGTATATTATATATTGTAAATATTTTATGGTTACCAATTTAATTTGTATTGTATTTCATTTGAGGAATATAATTATTTTTTTTTGGCACGTGTTTGCTCTTTAAAACTAATCAGTACGACATTCAATTATAATGAAATACCATTTATGGAATATAAAAGGGCTTGTTTTTCGGTTATTTTTAGCATGTTCACATTGGGCACACAAGTTTCTTCTTTTTACGGAATAAAGGTTCTATGAATCCAAGAATTGAAGAGAGTAACACTTTTGACGTTCGAAAATGCTTTTAATGGTAACAATATCATTACAATCATTACAAATAATTGATGATTGTTAAATACCCAAGGCATGCATATGTAATTGATCGAGTCGCTTTTTTTTTTTTTTCATCATAAAATAAAATTGGAATAAGAGGAAAAAAAAAAAAAACTACTTATTTCTTGAAACAAGAACTGTTTGATTTTTGAAAAAAAGAACCTACAATCAAAAGTTTAGGGCATGCTTACGGAAACACGATTTAAGGCTAAAGGGGATGATCAAACCAGGGACCGAAGATCTGAAGTTGAATATTTCATCTCCAAATTTATCCAAAATAGTTCTTTTTTTTGTATATTGTTTGTTATTTGGGTTTTCTTTTAAAAATTAATCATTTTCGATGATTTCTTTTCAAAAGTTTTTTTTTTTTTTCGTAATTATAGAAATCCTATACAATAATCTGTAACTTTGTTTCTGAAAGAGGTATAGCTTACGGCTACGGTCCTTTTTTTTATTTTTTTTTTTAAATAAAGTTTATCTCCTCTCGGGAAATTTTAAATAGTAAACTTTGTATGGTATAAGGAGAATAAAGGGAAATTTTGGAAATTTTCTTTCTCGTGTTCAAGTGTGTCAAAACTTGTACACTTGAATAGAATGTTATAAATTTCTCTACCAAAAAAAAAAAAAATAATAATAATAATAATAAAAAAATGCCTTCGCTTGATAATAATAATAACACAACCGCGGGCGGTCCATCATTATGGAGAAAAGCGACTTATAGCGCATTGGCGATATTTTCTTTCCTTTATCTCGGCATAACAATTATATTATTTTACATTCGAAGGAAGAAAATATCAGATATTCGATACAGACCTTTACGTTTGAACATTTTAAATGTGATAGCGACGATTATGCTGTGCGTGATTTTTTGCCTAAATTCGGCTTTCTATCCTGGTCAATTTCCTTGCGTATTAGTTCATTGGTCTTCATATATTGGTTTCTTCTTGTATTGTAGTTCCTTAGCTTGTAGAGTTTTATCATATACTTGGATAGCGAAATATAATTTAGCAAAATTAAGGATGAGTTTGGCTTACACTCCTCATCAAAGTTCTTTTAATCAATCGAATAATAATAATAATTATTATAATAATAATAACGCTGCTGCTATGATGCCAAAATCTCCAATGTCACCAACGTTGCGAGAAAGGTTGGATTTCCCAGGTTCACAATTACTAAATAGATTAAAAAAATTAAGACATTTTACAACTGATAAATGGTTAACGAGGTGGATTTTGCTTCCTACGATGGGTTTTGCTTTCATCCTTGCTCTTATTATACAAATATTTACGCCTGAACTCTCATTAACTTCATTACAAACCGACTGTAAAATTGGTCCTCAGTAAGTTTAAAGCTATGCAATTAATATTTGGTTTTATAAATTCGCATGACTTTGTATTTATAATCCCGTTTCTTTATTTTATTCTTCCTATAGATCCATTCCAATATTAATATTGATTGCGGCATTCCTGGTGATTATATGTCCCATTCTCTTCTACCTCTTGTATGATTTGCGAGATGCTTATGGTCTTCGAAATGAATTATTGGTTACGTTATTCAGTGGCATGTTTGCATACGCTGGTTATTTCGTATTTGAATTATTATTACCACGATGGAGAAATTATTTTGGTAGTTTAATGTTTGCCTGGATAACATTTATATTATGCCATACCTTCTCTATCACCATGCCAGTAATTCGATCATTTAAAGACCAATCGGATTCTATTCCCAATTCACGTGCTATTAAGAGAGACAATAATAAAGTGGAGGAAGGAAAATTTAACCGTCACGCGTTGTTTGAGAAAGTCCTCGGGGATTCCGAACTATTTGAACATTATAAGAGTGAGCTTACACGATTTCTTTTTTTCTTTTCTTTGCACTTTTTTCGTAATTAATGCTCACTTTTTTTTTTAAAAAAAAAAAAATTAGTCTGCGCGGCAACATGTTTCTGTACGGAACTTATAATCTTCTTACAAGAATATCAATTCTTGAAAATGTTGGTGGCCCATTGTTGCACTCCATCAAGTAAAGGAATGATTCCCCCATCAACTCCAAAACTTTATATAACGGAAACCGGTCATATTTCATTTATTGAAAATCATCCCGAGCCAATAACATCCCCATCGCTTATAACTACGCCTTGTACAAAATCAATAGCTGAAACCGTATCAGCTGCTTCTTGGATACCCTTTCCACATGAATTACGTGCCGATTATGATACCTTTTATGAAACATTTTTTGATATGGATTCAGATTTGGCCATTAATTTTCCTGGTAACCTGTTAAATTCTGTAAAAAGCAAGATCTCGAATGAGAAGTACGATTTAAACATGTATGAACAGGCTAGAGATGAGGTTTTAAATTTATTATATAGAAATACTTTTGATAGATTCTTGAAAGTATGTGAACCTGAACTTACAAAAAGAGGACTTTAACAAAAAAAAAAAAGAATGATTTCGAAAAAAAAAAATTTGTTGTATTATTATATTAGTATTAGATTTGTATTTATAATTTAAATTTGTATAATTAATTCTTTCCTATTACTCTCTTTAATTTTAATATATATCTTACTTGGCTTTTATTTATTTTATGGTAAAAAAAGCTTTTAGAATTTAGATATACTGTGTGTGTCTATAATAAATGGTATCCAACCAAAGATTTTATTCTGAGCTCATCATTTACTAAACAAAGCAATCAAAAATCCGTGTTTGACGGAAACGTTTTCTAGAACCAAAAAGTTTCCTTTTACCGAATCTTTCCATATTCTTTTAGTAGACCATAACTAACAACGTAAGATTAAAATATTATTAAAATAGAGCGAACCAAAGTTCTTTTTAATATATAATCATGCGTCGCTTACTTATAGTGTTTCAAGCAAATCATTCTTGCCCAATGAACTTTCAGTTTCCGAAACATAATCTGAAATTGGGCTAAACTAGTTTCTTCCGAAACATCAGGCTTGCTTGCCTTTTTGTGATTCATTAAATGCAATTTTTTTTTTTACTATTTAAAAATTCTCACATTATATTGCGTTCGGATGTCACTATCTGGTCACATATCATATTTTTAATAAAAAGAACAGGATCGATAAAGCGGAATTTGACGAAACTTAAAGCCAACAATATTAATAGTGGGAAATTTATGAATGATGTTAGGAATAAATTTTTATTAAAAAAAAAAAAAAAAAAAACTAACAGCAAAATATTTGTTCTCCTTCCCTACGCTATTAATAATTACGTATGCTAATAATTTTTTGTCCACAAAATATAAAACGTAAAATAACATTTTTTAAATTACAAATAGAATGGTTAAATGTATTATATAATCTATTTTTAGAAATAACGTTTGCTAGAAACTTTTATTTATAAATTTGAAGCATTTTCAACACTTTTTACGTTTTATAATTTATATACCATTTATAAGTTTTCTTTAATCTGATATAACATTTTTTCAGTAAATTTTAAATATAAAAAATCGGTTAAATATTAAAATGTAACTTTGCTAAATCGGTAATCTAATAATATCGATTTGAAAAAAAGTATTGAGCAGACGTATCAGCTTGTGATCAAACAAACAAAAATGATAAATATCTGCTCAAAAAACATGCAATATTGCATTTTTTTTTTCTAATCATTTTTATTCATAATAATTATTTACTATTCAAAATGTTTCCTGCACTTTCCTTTTATTTGTCATTTAATAATTGTAGAAGCCTTGTTAAAATAATTAGGTAAATAGAAAATGTTTATAATGCAAATTTTTATATATTAAATATCTTTGGTGTTGTTGAACTTTTTTTCTTTTATTACTTTAAAATAATACTACTCTAAGTTTTAGTTATATAATTTGAAATCTTATTAATATATAATTATAAATATGTGATAAAAGTAATACTTCTAAAAACTAAGTTGAATTTTTTCTAAAAACGAATATCTTTCTGTATTTTCAAATTGTTTAATTAATAAATTATAATAATATTATTATTTATTATTTAAAAATATTTGTATAAAAATAATATAAATAAAAAATATAATTATAAAACAAATAAATATGCAGTATTTTTTCAAAATCCTTTATAATTTTTTTTGTAAAAAAAAATAAAAATAAATATGGATGTTTTGTAATAATAAAAAAAAAGTTAACTTTAAAAAAATTTTTTTTGAGTTAATATTTGAACTATTTTATTAAAAAAAAAATATTTAACTTACAAAATAAAAATTTTTTTTAATAATTTCTTTTCTTTCTACTTTAAGCGTTTATATATCTTTTTAAAACTTATTAATTTTTTTAAGATATTATTTTTACTAATATAAAAAATATTTATTAATTTTATTTATATTTTAAAAATTATTTAATTATATTATTATTATAAAAATCTATTTTATTAATATTCTAACCTTTTTCTATATAAATTTAAACAATTAACTTAAAATTATAAAAATTATTAATATTTAATTGTAAATTTTGTAAATATTAAATATTAATTTTATAAAATTACTTTTTTAAATATTTTAACTTTTAAAGTATTACTTTATAAATATATAATATATTATTCTTTAATATAATTAAAAAATAAGACCATTATTAAGTCTAAAACTTTATTTAAATTTTTGTGTAATTGCAAAAACTATCAGTATCAGCTCAATTATTAAACAAATAAATATTAAGACAAATATATATCACTTAGATTAGGTTATAGTATCACTATATAATCTAAGTAGATTATGAAGTCATAAAATATTATTTATAATTTGATTATTACTTTATAACCTAATACTATAATTTAATTACTACTCTTTACATAATCTATATACTATCAATATTATATTTTACTAATTATTTTTTTATGTTCTGATTATTTCTTTAGATTTTTTCTGCTATTTATATTTTTATATTTATATGATTTTATTACTATTTTATAATCTAATTATTACTTTTTCTTTAATGAAATTATGATATATTTCTTTTGTTTAAATATTTTTGAATTTATTATTATGTTCCTTATATTATTGATTATTTAAAATTTATTTTTATAATTCTTTTGTTAATAATGTTTTATAATTTTTTAAATGTTAAATTTGATATTGAAAAAATATAATCCATTCAAAAAAATAAGTTGAGAATTAATATAATTAAAAATAATTATTATATTGTTATTGAAAATATATTATTCAATATAAATTTACTTTTCATACTTTATTAAAAATTTATAATAATAAAAATAAATTATATAAACTTTAAATATATAATGAAAATTTTCTATCTCTTTTATTTAATTACTTTTTCTATAAAGTATTTCTTATTTATAGATTTCTCATTAGTTTTTATTATATTCTTTAAATAAATTTTATAATCCTTAAAATTCTCTTTATATTCTTATATAAGTTAGTTAAATCTTTAAAATTATTTTTTACTAATGAAATTCAATTTTTATTAGATCATAATTAATCTGAAAAGTCAGCTTGACTTTAAACCTTAAGAAAAATTAAAAATTTTTATTTTAGATAGATAATATTTAAAGAATATGATAGAATTAATATCTGTTTATGTAATTATACTATTATTATATAGATATTATAAAAAGAAGTAAAGTAGGTTAAGTGATAATAATAAGTAAAGTATATTATATATTATAATATGATATATAATTTTATCATACTGAATTATTAGGAGTTAATTTTAATGCTGGTAGATTAGAATTAGATTGGGTTAGATAAGGGTTAAATCAGAGAAGTTTATATGAAAATAATAAACTTAGTATTATAATATGAATATACTCTATTTATCACTTTTACTTTACTTAACTTTTTTTTGTATTACTCCTATTGTATGTATTTTCAATTAAAGATTTTAATTTTATCATTTCTTCTGTATTAATAATTAAGTTTTAATATATAGTTTAGATTTCATATTAAAGTATAATTCATCATCTGATTTTTTATGCTTGAGAATCTATATTCTAGATTTTTTGCTACATAAATAATAGCAATTTGAATTATATTATATGTTTCACTATATATAATTTTTTTTTTTAGAAATACATATGCAATATAAATTTTTATATATAAAATGATTATTAGGATTAGAAATTCTAGATCAATCTGATTAAAAGTTTTTTATTTCTATCTAAGGATATTTTATTAATTATAAGTTTTATTGAAGAATTTCTTATTTTAAATTATTTTAATTTATACAATAATAATAAAAGCTATAATATTTTTATTTTAAATAATATATGTATTATTACTAATTTAAAATAAGTACTATTAAATTACTAATTGAATTTTAAAAAAAAGTTTACATAAAAATTATAAGCATTTAAAAATTGATAATTTTTATATAATTGATCAAATTTAAAACAATATTATATTATATAAATTTAATTTTATTGATTAAAATTTTTTATAATTTAAATTAATATTATAATAATTTAATATCAACTTAAATTATAATGATTAATTAAACTCAGATTTTTAAAATTTTTTTTACATTTAAATTTAAAATCTGATTATATTTTTAAAAATGTTACATAAAATAAAAAGACAATAGTAAATTGATAAAATAATTAAAAAAGAATATAATATGTTTTAAGAAGATAAAATAGATAGTAAAAAAGATTGTAAAATTAATAAAGAATAGACAAAAAGTAAGTTAAAAGAATTTGAAAAAATAAAAAAAAGCTTCTTAATGAAGTACTAAATTAGAATGAAAAAGCTAACAAGTAAAATTAAAGCTGTATATACTAAAGAAATAAGAATAATAATATAAAGAAAAATAAGAAATATAAAATTAGAAAAGCATATAAAAGGGATAAAAAAGTCTAATACTTTTTTTTAACTAATTTCTAAAAGTGTTAACATATCAGGTAAAATATTATTATATCTAATTATATAAAATCTGTTTCTACTATTAATATTATAATAGATTTATGTATAAGCTTAGAAGAAATTAATAAATTATACTCAATAAGAAAATTTATAAAAATAATCATAATATATATATTTTATATAGAAATTACTAAATAGACAAGATAAAATAACTGCTAGTAATCAAATTGTTTATTCTATATAGAATAAAAAAAAATATATAGTTTAATATATTAAAAATAAAAAGATTATTTTATATATACTGAAAAGCTTCTTATTCATTTTTAAGAAAAGCATATGAAAATAAAATACTTACTAAATGATAAAGATTTTATTGAAGATTACAAAGTATGATTATAGTAATAAACTTTAAAAATGTTTTTTTTTTTAATCTAAAAATATATATTAAAGAAGAGTTATTTTTAAATTAACTGGAAATATCAAAAGAAATATTATTTCTGAAAAGATATGTCAAAACTATATATATTTATGAAGATATAAATATAATAAAAAAAAAGTACAGTCAACTCTTATTATAACGAACTCTATATCCTAGACCTCAACTTCGCTATAAGGCTATAGTAAAAATTTTAAGAGATTTGATTGGCCAATTTGCTATAACAAGAGTATTTTTATTATATTTGTTTAAAAAATTCGTTATATCAAGAGTTCGCTATAATAAGAGTTAACTGTATATTATTTACTATAATAGATATCAGAGGCCAAATATAGTAAAATATAGAAAAAATAGTTAAAAAGAATATTTATATACAAAAAATATATGAAAGAATTTGATAGAGATACAGTATGTTAGATATTATATTAGAACTTGAATCTAAACTAGAAGAATCTAAACTAGAAAAGAGAAAGTTTGTTCAAGTAATATATGATAAATATTATTTTTATACAAATAATAAATAACAGAGAATTTGAAAAGAATGAAAATATTTTACATCTGAAATATTTAGAAAATTTAATTATAATTTCTTATTTTTAGTCCCTCCCTTATAGTCTAATAAGATTAAAGCTAATCAAAGGTGCGAGAGATTTGTTGAAACTCAACTAACAGATCATACTTACATAATATGCTCTAGTTAGAGCCAAAAATTTCCCCCGATAATTTGCTTCGCTCATGATCGGTTATATATAACATCTATTGGTTAATAATAATATTAAGAAATCATTGATATATTTATTTTCTTTCGAATGAATATGAGAAAAAAAGAGGGGAGTTTGGTGGTAATCTTTATTGCCATTTTTACGTTTGTCAATGACCTAATCTAATTGGTAGATCATCTCGTGATTTATGTTACTATGATATGACGGCTAAATTAATTATTTACGATAATCAGATTCCTTTATTATTAACATTAATCAGATTAATTAATATTGATCATTTTCGTTATTGAAACCTCCTCTTCAAAATGTCCTTTACTTCTTCAAGCTCTGGCTGGAAATCAGCAACAGTAAGGAAGGTAAAGAAAGTTCGAAACAAAGTTGATAACATAGTTCATAACTATCCCAAACTTCCAGACTTTCCTTTAGGAGAAGAAAAGTAAGTGTGGCTCACACATGTTTTTAAGGTCTGCTCACTTTTGACCTATATGGTTTTCAGTTTGCCATTTCAGATTGGAAAGAACGTTTCAGTGAAAGAGTATAACACCTTTGTTGACCGCCACGAGTCGACTGGATACAAATTTTATTGGGAAAACAAAAACGTATATATTATTGAGATGGCTAATGCGGATCATGAAGCTGTCGTGTCTACATTGATGCAATTCTTTCTTCTTCCAAACAATGGTGTAATAATTCTTCCTCCGATAAGAGTTCTTCCTCAACCATGTAAGATGTTTCCTTTTAATATGTTTGGTCTTTGGCTTGTAATATCAATTCACATTTTTTTCTATAGTCCACTTTAATCCGGCCGGCCAAGGGGAAAAAACGGCACCAGACGTCGCGGTATATCCTGCTTCTGCTCATGTTCCACGACCTGGTATTCCACATCCAGGCCCTCCACCTAGTGATACAAATGTATTTTTAGTTTTTTTAGTTTGTATATTATTTGTTTGAATCACTTTCCTAATACTCTTACATAGGGTAACCCTCACGCAAGAATTATCGTTGAGACAGCTAACTGGCAGAGCCTTGAATACTTGAATGAAAAATGTGGGGCGTGGATGCGTCAACAATATGTTCGAGATGTACTTGGAATCAAACTTGATGCTATTAGGAGCCATCAAGGACAAGTTCATCGGTCGATGTTGGTATGTCTAACTTGTTATTTTTTTTTATATAGTTTCATCTCTAAGAGTTATTAGGCTACATTATGGACGCGTCAAAATGTGTCACCAACGGCACCAGTAGGATATGTTGCACCACCAGGATTTACAGTATCAACGGATCCAAATCTACCAAGAGTGTCTTTCAGAACCGTAAGATTGATTTATCTACCATTTTTATATTTTTTTTATAATAAATTATAACTTTGGCCATATTATAGTGGGATTTCGGCACTTTACTATATGGTACTACTAATGCTAACGCTTGCACTGCTCCGAACCTCCCTGCTTATCAAGTGACAATTCCAATTGAAGATGTTTTCTGGAACCCCCCAATAGTTCCTAATACTACTACAAGAACCAACATTCTGAATGAAACTGGTTACATCATAACAGTTCCTAATGTAATCACAGTTCCCAATTTCATCATAGACTTATTCGCAGTCCAGCAAGCAGTTCTAGACACTCAAAGATTATAATTTAGTATAATAACGATTTATCTTGTATCATTAATAACAAAAAGAACCAATTTTACACCCTATTTTAAAAATTATATTATACCCGTGGGTATCTTGTAGTAAAATTTACCATTAAAGATTTTTTTCGCATTAAGTTATAGCTACTATAGTTTAAAATTCGTCTAATAAGAAGTTTCTTACTGAATCAGTACATTTTAAAACTTTAATCATATATATACGCACACATGTTTAAAAAATTTGAATTGAAATCTTTATTATATTTTTTTCATAAAGTAATACATAAGAAAGGATCGGCCGGCTAAGTAAAAATGAAAGTAAAAAATGATAGAGTAGCAGGATGTTTCAAGGGAGAAAAGGCATAAAAGAATATGCCTGCTTGTTAAGCCTGCCGAGCCCTAACTCATATACTGGCAGTTCCTTCCCGCTACTCAGTATCGATATAAATGAATGTTATTTATCCAAGCACCTATCTTTTCTAAGTTTTTGCTATTTAAATTTCCCTATGATAAAATCCCTTTATTGTATCTTTTCCAATTACTCCTATCCCAAGTCTACTAAGAATATTAACCGATACAATGCCACACATCTGATCTAAAGAATAATCATTCACACCCTTAATCCTATCAAAGATGTCAATAAATTGTTCCCAGATTACAGAAATGATATTTGCGAATTTTTGGCTCGAAGAGCTTGAAGATGAATTAGTTGAAGAGCCTCACAAATCAGTTTCAGATTCATTGAACACACTTTGTTGGTCAAAATCAGATCTTTGAACTACTGATAATGTTGATTTATTTTGTTTTGGAGATCTTTGATAACAACATTAATTGACATGAATCTGGATGTAACAGATTCCTCTAGAAATCTAATTCTGCTAAAATCATTATGGTAAGCTTCTTTGATGTTATTAAGTCTTCCCAATATTTTCTGCGCTTCTGTGGCATAGCCAGCATCACGTGCCTTAAAAATTTCAATTTTTGCGATAAGTTTATTATTAAGCTCAGTATTAATTCTACTGAGCTTCGCAGTGAAAGATGCATTAATTTCAGAAAGACATGTGGTGACTTTATTAGAGATTTTGGTATTGAATTCTGCCATAAACTTTTTGTTTATTTCAATAAAGGTTTTTTTGATTTCTTCTGGCGTATTATTTTTTGTATTAAGATCATTGACGATTCTAGTGACATATGCAGAAAGTTCATCAGAAATTTTTTGTTTGAGATTTGATCACATGGTAGCGATCTCCATGAATAACACTGGACTAATGAATAAAAAAACAGTGGTTAAGGTCAAAAAAGGCATGACTCCCAAAGAGTTGAGCAATGACAAACTGGACATGATTAGGTAAATTGATGCGTAGTAATTTTATTAAGAGATTATTGGTGGATCAAGTTTTTTAGATATTAACGATTGATTTTTTTAATATGCAATTTTCTTGCGTAAATGCGCTAGGAAAAAAGGATTATTTTATACTGTATGCTTACTATACGTGAAAAGAGAATTTAACCTAATTTAATAAAAGTTATGTTGCTTTATTGTGTGTATTTGTCATAACTACATTTTTTATAATTACGTTACTCATAGATGCCTGATTGTTGAAATAACAATATATGCAGTGTGAAATCAGTATTATAAATACTAATAAAAGTACCGGGAAATTTGCTGTTTATTGCTAAGATCATCTATTGATCTGCGGGAGATAGCTTACCCTGCTAGTATTTTTTTTTCTAATTAATGAGAAAAAAGGTGGCCCCTATTCGTGCTCCATATAAATTTACTAACGACCGTAAATGGAAATTTATTTTATTATGTAGAATATGGCCAGAGGCATACCCCCTTACATTTTATAGGATCAAAGATCTGTAAATCGGTAAATTAAGAGGCGTAATTTCCATTCTTGTCCTATTCTAACAACAGGAACATTAAATTGACTTGCGTAATACTAATTCAAAGATTCGTAATATATGTATTATGCTAGAACCTTCCAGAAAAAAAGTCACCAGATTAATTATTTATTGATTTAGTCCCATAATCTACTTCCCCATAGATTTGCAAAAATATGACGGTATTTCATGAAATCATGGCCCTGGCTTCATTATTACAAAAATAGCACATCTAGATCTAAAAATAGGAGCACTGCAGAAACATATAAATTTTTCGTTCAGATGATCGTGCCCTTTTTCACTGCGGAGAAGTATAGTGATGACGTACTTACTTATTACGCATGATATATGCTTGGCTAAGTCACTCACGTGATTTAAAAAAAGAAATACAATTTCGCATAATTCAACCCAATAATTCTCTTAGGTGGTTACCAGAGAGATAATAGGACTCATCATTGAGGAGGATTTCCTTTCATATCCTCCATCACAATAATAATAACCTCTATCACGTTTACCATATTCATTATATCCACCGTATCCACTATACCCATCATCATCCAAATCGTCTGGCATCTCATCTCCAGAATTACTATCAGGATCAGAGTCATCATTATATGAATTGGAGTCATCATCATGCGTATTATCTGGTCTTGACCGAAGGCGCTGAAACAAAAGGACCTCTTCATTCCTTTCTTTTTCCAACTCCTCCAAAATACACATCATTATCTGAAGTGATAGTGTTCACATTAGTGGAATTCGTCTCATTGAAAAACATATCTTCATCAAACCACGCCTCTTTCTTGGAATTATCAGAAGAATTTTGAGCTGAAATTTGCCAAGTAAAAATTTTTTATTATTATATATAAAAATAAATATAAATATTCAGGATGTAGCCCAGGATACATATTATTTTTTGATAAATTTTTTGATCCTAACCCTCTTGCTAGTCAGAGAACTATCTACACTAATCCAATCCTTTAACAACCCTACAATTATGCTGATTACCCTTTTCACATTGCTTTAAAGTAATTCAAGATTATCTTTAACTGTGGACTTTGTAAGATTAATCTTATATTTGCTACCGCTTGTGAAGAAGATGTTATCTGGAGTATATATGATAAAATGCTACTCTGTACTTGTGGTCACAATACTATAGATATAGTCGAAATAGTCATTTTTAAATGCTTGATCTAATGTTCATTTCTTTTTATTAGTCTGGAATGCACTTTCAAGTTGCGTCAGATTCTGAAGAAAAAATAAAATGCTATTAATACTATTGAATCTTCTATAAAGCATAAACAGATAGTAAATTTACCTGCGCATATCCGATTTTAATATTATGAGGTTTTTCTTCAGTGATACATAGGAGGTCTTCTAGACTTTTGATTGCATAGTCTACTCTGTCTGTTGCATCCTCACCGGATATATCTTTCTGTAAAACTATAAATATATCTTAAGAGGTAAGTTTTTTAGCTATAGCGATGGATGCATGGAGAATCGATAAAATAAATTCTCCTCTTTATTTGTATTAAGAAAATCACTACCAGCTATTTCTTCCTTACGTAAAATTTTGAAGTGGGACTCCTCTAACTTTAAGTTTTTTTCTTCAAATATTCGATAAGCTCCTTCGTATTAAAATCCTTAACAATGTCTGACATTGTTCAAGAAGAAATTTCTTCCGTTATTGAGTTTGGAGAAGAAGGTATAGAGGCTTGTGAAGATATGGTTTTTATATATGTAAGTTTGTGCTTGCGAAAAAATTTATGCACCCGACAGTAGATACAGTTAAAGCTGGTTTATGGATATAAAAGTATTTTTTAGTTTTCAACACTCGGAAAGAAATGATAAATTTTTTTGTATCGATTCATAATGCATTTGCCCAATATACTGTATATGCAATTAAGATGTAGTACAGAATTGTCAGACGATTATATTACATCATTACACGTGACATTTTTCAAGATTTATGACAAGAACATAATATATACTTTATTTAAGAAATAAAAAAAACGTTACTGGAAGTCAGCCTACAATACATAAAAATTGCGACTATGCGAAGTGCCTTAACAGCTATCGCTTTTACATGATGATCTTATCTGGCAAGGTATAGAGAGATTAACTTGGGTCTCACGTCCATTACTGGGTTTTATATCTCCAGTATACCATGCTTGTGATGAATTAAAAAATATCTTCAGTTTTGTACCATCTGGGACCTCAATAAACTTCACCACTTCATTCGCAAGAGTAGCAACTTGATTGCTAAATATTTTTTCATCAGAGGTGAGACGGTTGGGAGTATTATCTCTATCTTTGTCTAACTTGTCAATTGTTGAGGTATCAGATGTATTGATCTTATTGAGCACTTCGGCCTTATCAAACATCTTGTTTTCCTAAATTTAAGGTCTATAGTGAGGAATTTTCGTTCCCATACATACATAACTTCTGATATATACATACCTTATTTTGCGTTAGCTATGCTAGTAAAACTATTTTACAGGAATATTTTTGTGGAAAGTTGGCTGAACTTCCACATACCACTACATGCTTTATATCTTGCTAGAAAAAAGTTAAGGAGATAAGAATAGTGATTAGCATTGTCGTCTAATGCCAAGAGCTCTATGAAAGCATATGCAAATGGAATCTTCATACCTTTTCACATGGAGATCGTCCCTGCAAGATATATAGTTGGTTTTACGCCTGGCAATCTCAAAATTGTGAATTCCTCAACCTTTCATAACATATGCTTTTGCCGGCATTATTTACTTATAGGGAAGGTCCTGTATTGCATATAGACCTCCTTTCACATTTTTCTTATGTTTGTTCGAGAAAAAATAGAGATACTGGTTAGTATATATATATTTTCTTTTCATTATATGCAAAAATTAATATGTCGCACAAGACCTGATTGATGATTCACTTATTTTTGTCGCACAATCTGTGGCTCAGCAAAAAAATCTTCTGAGCTGGTGATCACAGACCTCAGATTAGGGTTCCCCTGCTCGTTCACAATGTTCAGATCACTTCAGATCAGATCAAATACGGAACCCTACCTCGGACTAACCAATGCATAGCCAGAGGGCCATTGTGTCAAATTGACTGCATTAAATTCTGATTGATAATACCGATCTGTCTACAATATTCACTAAATGCGGTAAGAACAGGTATTGTTTCTTTTTCTACCTGAATAAGTGCTTTTACCAATTCATCAAGAGTATGATAGTATTCAGATATTGCAATATACCATTGATTTTCAAGTGTTAATCCATTAATGAATTTATTTCTAAGATGCTCTTCGCTGAAATTGACAATATCATTACACCTCTTTACCTTCGAATAATAATCTACTATTGAATCTTTGTCTTGACGCAACATTCCATAATGGAACATCTCTATCTCATTTGCATTGTTACCTATTTTAATCTCATCTGTATTAATACCATTCGACCATATTTCCCATCGAAGTTCCTCAGCACTATATGGCAATTCTATTAAGCTTAAAATCTGTGGGAGATAAAAAGTATTGGATTGTATGAATATATGGAATAATAATGTTAGATTTCATATGTTAGGCAGACTATATACAAATCGTTTAAGTATTTTCTCCTCCCAATGCCTGACTGCCTTTGTCTTCCAATAAATTTTGATTTCGCAAAATAGATCTTCCCAGTCTTGCCACTCTGGTATAAATTCAGGATTCCCTTCATTATCCCATTCATATTTCGATCTATATTCTTTGATAAATTCATTGTAGCCTTCATCTGTCTCGTCATCTGACATTTTGCTAATAGAGTAATTATACTTAATAAAAAATAGAGATACTAGTTAGCATACATAACTTTCGATATATGCAAAAAAATAATGTTTCACAGACTGACCGTGTGATCGGCCATTACATCATTGCACAGAAATCTATGGCTCAGCAATTCTTCCGAGCTGATGATCACTGCTCTGGACTAGTTATATCGGTAGAGTACCACCATTCTGGGGCTAATATTCTTTCACCAGCTCTAAGTCGCCAGCGTATCTGAGATAGAATCGAATTCTGATTACCTCGCATACTTAGATCTAAAAGGCTCTGAGCTAAAATCTGTCTAGTAGCAACTTTGTTCTGTGTAAAATGATTTCTAACCATTCCAATGAGATCAGGAGATGTTATAGTATCCACGAAATTCACAATATTGATATTTGGATTAAGTGAAACAAGCTGATCTACGGCTTCTTTGCTAATTTTATAACACCCTCTTAGATTAAGAAATTTTAAATTAAGGCATGATCTAGCAATTTCTTTGATAGTTATATCAGTAATTACACAATAGCTAAGATCAAGATGCTCGAGCCTTGGGCAAGAACAAATAATATTACAAATTGATATTTCAGAAAATTCTGTGCAGTTAGAAATGTTTAGATATTCTAATTTATGATATGAATTTGCGATTGCAGATATATCTATATCATTTTCTGATTTAAATCTTCTACGTAAAGCAGATATATTAAGATACTCCAAATTTGGATATGATTTCGCTATTAGCTTTAGAACTTTACCTATACTGTCTGTACTTCCTTCAAAATCTAAATGAATTATATTTTGAAAAGTATGCACAATACCTTTGATTTTTTTATTTGAAAGTGAACAGTAGTATGTTATTTTAAGATGAGTTAGTTTAGAGCTATAAACTGGTTTTCTTCCTCCTCCAGGTACTATTTTTAAAAATCTTTCCAATCGAAATTTATCATCTACTTCATTTCCCTTTAGCTCAATACGCTTCCATAGAATAGGAGCACCGCATCTATACCACAATTGGAAAATATATAGAGTGGGATAGAGGGATTTATCTATCAATAAAAAATATAAAATCTGTTTTATTACTTCTGGTATAATAAAAATACTTGAATGCGCCATAAATAATAAATCTGTATCTTTAAACAAAAAAATAAAATTATACATATTGGTGATGGATCTAACAAAATTTAGTAGCTATACATATTGATAATATTAGATATTTCATCATTTTCTGTAGACTCTGATTTCGGGTCTGAGTTATGTTCATCTTCAGATCCGGAGTCCTCTGATTCTATATTGCCTATAGCATAATTATCATCTGCATCAAGACGATCAGATTCTTGCCTCATTGTGATTCTCAAAAGCAGTTTAAGATGTTGGGGGGTTGCTTTCAGATCACCATGAATTCTGAAAGCGTGCTTACTTTCATAATCTCTTAATTTTCCAGGTATAGTTCTATAAGGCTCTTGCTTTAAGAATTCATTAAATGGCTAAGCATTTCGTGTTCCAGTTTCAGTATAGACAGGGTCACGTAATTTTTTAGCCTTAATTGCATCTCAGATCTAGGTAAGTAATTCCCTGACGCGTTCTGGATTTTTTTCCATGGAAAGAAATGGCTGGGGCTCAGGATTTTCCTTCTTTTTTCCTCTACCTTTAGATAGCCTGTGCAGTACCAAGAATAGCCTTCTTTATACCATACTGGAATGTTTGAAGGATCTGGTTCATAGTGATTAATTTAAAGAGATCTTACTTCTCCTGATCTCATACTCAACATCACTATCACATCCGCAAGATCCTCTTTAGTAGGAATTTTAGAAGTATCAATGTTTTGAAGCCTTTTACTCACATTTACTAAGGAGAAATGTATGGGAATTCTGTCTGGATTAGCCATTCACTTTTTAGTTTGTTCTTTCTAAATTTTATTAGAATCTTGAATAAGGCCCTTATTTTTGGCAAATTCTTCAATAATTGCAGAATCTACACCACCTTCTGCTAACTTCACATGGAATGTTGACTGACGTGAGATACCGGCAACGATTTCATTTTCATCTTTATTTTTTGGACCTAAGTCTAGATGATGGGTGAAAATATCCATAGCATCACCAGCTGTAGTGCAGAATTCCACCCTTCCCTCTATGGTGAGAGTTTTCTCTTTTATCTGACATGAAAGCGTCTATCTTCTCTTTACTAAATGAACATCTATTATTAGTACCGTTGGTAAGGGCAACTTTAACACACCTGTAGGCCATCCAATCAGGAAGCAAAGCATCAAGTTCGAGAGCATGTTTGCTTAATTGTTTTGGGGTAGAGTCAGCTGACAAATTATGCTTTTCTAGAAACTGCTCTAAAATTAATACAAAGTTATTAGCTTTAGGTTTTTGGGACTTTGGGGTAGCTGTTTTGGTAACCATGTCAATACTAACTGTTATCTAGTTATATTATATAAGAAAAAGTTCAATTCAAAAAATTATATCCCACCTGGCCGAAGGTGATTTGCATGAGCATTTCTCTGATTATATCTTGGGAGATATGACCCGCTGAGACATCATATTTTTAAATATCTATAATAAAAGTAAAGATGAAGTTTTAAGAATATTAATATCAAAATTACCTCGTATGGGTCGTTTTATTTGCCAATACATCAAGAAAGATGGTTCGATTTGTGGGAAAGGGTGCATGAGTGAATTAGGGTGTGCCAGACATTTTAATGCCCCTCCTAGAACAATATGCCCTATCTGTAGGCAAGGAACTTATTCTAAGACCGGAATCTGTAATACACATGGTGGAATTTATGACTATGCCTGACGCGAAAGTAAAAAAAACTGAAATAGAATCAATGGTTACTTTAGTGACCCCATCTTATGTGATCAAGATACTTAGCTAAATAATAATCTGGCTTAAGTATTATTTTTCCTATCCTATAGAGTCAAAAAATTCCTGAATCTCATTATCTGTTTTTGATCTATATGGTAGAAGTTCTGGTGCGCCTTTATCTCCAAAACTGTATCGTTATATGGCCGACAATTAATTCGGTATGAGTATTGCCTAACTTGTTGTCCTTTAGGCCCTATTTTTTTTTTATCACTTTCAACGTAATATCCACACCAATTGCCAGCAATTGCATTAATTGTTTTTATAGCCGAATGAAGATCTGGTGTTTCCTTTGCATGAGACTTAAAACCAAAGAGTAATAAAGATTGGTTTCGAATTTCTATAAACTTTTCATAAGATCGCATAAATGATTCTGATGCAGTATCACTAGAAAGAGTACGCTTGTCATCAATGCCAGTAAAGCCTAATATTTGAAAAAGTTCTTGTATAACTTCCTAATGCTTTGCTGAATAAGATTTACGCAAGTCTTTTGCCACTGATTTTTTCAGATTCTCTTTGGCTTTATAGCAGGCAATTTCCCATTGTATATTTTTCTCAGCTTTTAATCCCTTCATTGCATTCTCCTCATCATGACCTTGCCTTCGAAAATAAGACAACTGTAAGAAATGCTTCTGAGCTTCAGGCGAACTAAAATTTTCAACGAATTTTTTATTGCAAATATTATTCTAATCCTTGATACTCATGTCTTTACAATAAAGATTCCACATATAAAAACGTTTAAGTGCTATAATATCTGCGATAGAGCGCTCTTGGTTGAATTTAAGGACTTCAGCTTCTTCAAGGCTAAGATTCTGGGAAGTAGCAACTGCATTAAAATCCATTTCTTTAATAACTAATGCTTCAACTCTAACCTCATTACGGATTCTTTTACGGTTTCCTATAACTTCTCAGCTCTCATCCATTTTTATTAGTTGAAGAGAAGCGCCGGTACTGGCTATAAGATTACAAAGCTTCTCAATAAAGTATCTCGCAGAAAGGCGTTTCTGATGCTCAACTTCAATGAAAATTATTATAGCAGGAGACTCATCAACTTTATAAGAAATGCCATTATTATTCCATTCACGATGTCCCTTTATTGCTGTAAGCAAATTATTAGGCCGAGCACTTTCAAGTTCTGCTCGAATATTTTCACGACCTGGTGAACGAAAAAGTTTGTTAGAATTTTTCTAGTAGAATACAGAAATAATACGACGAGGACAATCATGAATTCGATAAAGCATTTGTGCAAGAGCTTCAACATGAACTGGAGTGGCAATGTTTATAATGGCTATAACTATATCGAAGTGACCTGTAACCTCGAATGATATTCCCGCTTCCACTGTATTTGTATAAGCCACACAATCAAGCTCGCTTCAAGCAACATTAATATTAGAAAAGTCTTTTTGTCACTGTTTCC